TTCCTGGAGTCAATTCGAATACTGTTTTCATATTTCAGGAACTAATATAATTATAGTTGATGAAAGATGTTTAATAGAATGACGATTTAATTAAGATCCATATTAATACTATAAAGTATCTTCTTTAAATGTAGTTTAGATTGAAACATAGTTCCTATACTTGTTCAACAACAGAATGTGATCAGTTAGAACAGAGGTTGAGTACGTTATATAAAAACGAATTTGGTCCCTCACCATGTCCTTAAAGTACAGGTCGCCACGTCCGGTCATGCCCTATCTGATGACCATGCAGCATAGTTTTCATGGTAAAACGCTCAAATGTAATGTTGTCATGCCTGAAGCACATGACCCATGACTGCAGGCTTTCCATGATTCATACAGTGTATGAAGACAATATTTTCTTAACGCTCTTTTCGATTACACAGTATGTCTTTTTAAAGAATACTAGAAAAACATTTCATTCTCCAGCTGCTGTATGTGGAATTTGATTGGGTAGGTTATGGCCTTGACTTGCGTTGCTGTTAAAGACAGAAATCCCTTTTTGTTACGTCGTAAACTGTTGCCTGGGGCACGTTGACGGATTTTGTCTCTGGCCCTTATGTTCTTGAATTTTCATCTGTTACAAGACACCATATGTTGTTTATCACGGCTGGGGTACAACTTGTTGCAGTGCCCTTTCTTGATGGTCCTGGTGTCCCAAGTTGATCCATATTCCTTTGTTTTCTTATACTATTAAGTATAAGGGATATCGCCATTATAAGAATTCCAAAATTCCTGATCTGAACAATTCTTCATCATATGAGTATATGAATATTTTGCGTCGGAAAAGGCTGTTATATACCCTTCTTAAAAGTAATCAATCTGCGGTAACATCACACTGCCTAGAAAATACTGAACAATATCAAAACATAGTTCTGACGCATACCATTCCACAGTGGTTGTCACGTGACTTGCTGATTTGCATATGCAAATTCACTTTAATATAACATGCTCAACCTTCTGTACTATCTACAGATTGAGGCTTCGTAAGAGTGCTAAGTGTAAGGTATTCTGTACAATATATATATATATATATATACAAGTATTCTGTATAATATTAATAAGGATCTAAAATAAAAAATACATAAACGTAATTCAGTATGAAGTAAAATTCATTTGGTACACACATAACAGTTATCGGAACAACTGGGTTGTGAGGTCTAATTGAATTAAATGTATATTTTATATTGCTTTTCTCTTCTAAACGCCCCCCAGTGGCACAGCGGCGTGTTTGCGGAATTACATCGCTAGAAACCGGGTTTCGATACCCGTGGTGGGCAGAACACAGATAGCCCATTGTGTAGCTTTGTGCTACAAACAAACAAACTCTTTTAAACGTCGCAAAATTTACGAAGATCATGAAAATATATTCTGAAATTAGCAAATGAAATAGAAATAATGACGATCATTGACCTGTTCATCGATTAATTAATACAGTCGCTGAAGATGAAACGTGAATATTCCGAAATGTCCGACGATGTTTG